CCCCCAACTCCGCCGCTGGTCAGTTTCAGCAGCAGTGGACTTGGAGAAGCTGGGGGGCAGAGCAGCTAGGGTGATCTGCTCCAGGGCTTCTCCAAGTCCACCACTACTGAAACTGACCAGCGGTGGACTTTGGGAAGCCGGGGGCAGAGCAGCTCCAATTGTCCAGCTGGCTGGAGCACTTCCAGGTTCCAGTTGGTGCCGGACTATCAAGAGTGCCGGGGCCACTGGATGCCGGACAACTGGAGTTTTACTGTATTTTGAAATACTGGAAGTGTGGACGCTCCACTGCTGCTATTTTGAAGTAGTTCCTCACCAGGGCCATTCTAAGTAATTACTCTCTGGGGCTTTCTAGGGCTTTAAATCGAGGTAGCATGTCCACATTAGGGGAGCCTGCCTTGCACTAATTTTGAGGCTTCCCCGTAGTGTAGACATGCTATTTAGAAATAAGCTATTTTGGAGTATTTCTTCCAAAATAGCTTATTCTGAAATAAATGTGCAGTGTAGACATGCCCTTATTGTGCAAGTACTCACAGTGATAAAAGGCACCCTAACAACTATGGATACATCCTGTTCAATTCTGTTATAAGACATATATAAGCAGCTCTTAGCTCTATATGATGTATTTGTTTTTTCTTAAATCCAACAGTTAGTAACCCAGAGGACCAAGCTATGTATCAGAGCCCAATTATGTTTGATAGGGGCCCAACGCTGTTACAGTTATGGGAGTCCCTCAGTTTCTTCCTTTTATTATTTTGGCACCACTCCTGTCCAATGGCAAAGAATCAGTTGTTAAATTACATTGGTTATTTCACTCCATTTTTTTTTAAAGGTGATAGGATAAAGCTGAATTAAAGTTAAAATGAGCAAAACCATTTTAATCTTCGGCCATAACTAGTAGTAAGGCTTTAATTACCTAATTACCAATGGCAGTCATATTCAGTTACATTTTCTGATGAGCTAGCTACATAGGGCAAATCCAAATCTTGGTGAGCCAAAGGCTCTTCCTCTGTCGTGAAACTGCCAGTGCCCCAGACTCACCGCCTTTCAAGCATGTTGTGCTAGATTATATTTAATCTCAAAATAAAAGGTTGAGTGAGCCAGTAAATACCAGTCCACAAAAGCTTTTCAAGCAAATAATTCTAATGTCTCTGAATCTGTTCTATAGATCAAATTGTGCTCTGCTTCCAATATATGATCACTATAATTTTGTTGTTTTAAAAAGCAAAGATTTGATAATGTGGAAATGCTGAAACTTTTTGTGTATAATTCTCTCTCTTTTATTGTTGGGAAGTCTAAATAAGAGTATGTTGTTGCTAACAATAATGTCTCATGTTCACATGCCAGAAAAATAAAGTGGAAGGAACGTGTGAATGGATCAGCGTGTAAATTACAAAAGAACAAAAAAGAAAGGTTCCATTACTTAAACTAAATCCAAGTCACAGTTTGTGACTGACTGTGTGTGAGGTTATGGGGTAAAGGATGCAATGAGCTTTCATCTCTTCATATTCCTACACAGAGGCCAGGCACAATGCGGCTATGGAATGCAGGTGGTGTGTGTGGATAACAGCACTAACCTCCCCAAACGCAGTAGAGTGAGGTCTGTGGTTGTGTAAGGCAAATGAAGCCTCTCCCAGTGTGGTGGAAATGAAGTAACAGTAGCATATATACCTTGTTAGCCTCTGGGAAATTCTGGCTCATTAAACTAAAATTCTTCTGGGAACACGATGGTGCTGTGCACCCTCTCCTATATGAAGAGTGACTTTAAATTGCAATCTAGTCCTATGCATATGTTATTTCAATATTGCTCTATTTGCTACCCTTTTAAAAAGGAATTAATTCAAACAAATCTTTGAAATTTTTCTTTTGAGTTATAAGTTGTCTTGTATGATGACTTTTTTATATGTTTAATTATTATTTGATATAGAACTTTCTACTTTAAAAAATAGTCTTGAATGAAAATATCTGAGTGTTGTTGGGGGTTTTGTTTTTTTGCCTACATAGTCGTCCCTTTCAAGTCCTGATTTCTTTGACTCACCAAGCCCTGAAGAGGAAAAGGAAGAACACGTGTCCATTATACACAAAGCAACTGAAGTGTCAAAGAAAACAAAGACTGTTACAATATCACAAGTAAGTTAATTGGGATGGTTTGATTACGCTGCATTTTCTAGTTTATTGTCATATACATGCATTCTTTTCTTTTATTTATTTCATGGTACCCATCATCTCAGTAACTGGGCAACTCAGGGTACTTACAGTGAAATGCAACCTCTTCCACTGCAGATACAGTTTATTGTGGCAAAATCCTTATACCAACTCAATGATCAGAATAAGGTGTACTAGCAACACTTTTTTTATGGTATTATTGCATCTATTCTAGGGCTTTTGCTATTATAAAAATGTTGCAAAAATCATATCCTGAAGCAGTATTACTGAATCACAAACTTTTCTAATGTCTATTATGAATTCTGTTTGAACTTAGAAAAATTACTGAGCCTCTCTGTACTTTATTTCCCTTTCTATATACTCATTAGGGGTTTTATACTGCTTACCTCTGTAACATTTACTCCTGGAAGAATTGAACATTCTTTGCACAATATTTTTGTAAAATTGTACATATTTTATTTGTCAAACAACAACAAGATAATCATTCCTATTTCAGTTATTTTGGTAATTTATTTCAAAATCCCTATCAAAAAGTATGTCAGCAATGCACACAATAAAAATGATTCTCCCAGAAGTTCAGCGTTAAAGAAACCCTGTGACAACCCAGTTTCACACACACACGCTCCCCCTCCCCATACAGCCCAGTCACTTGTACCCACTTTTCTGAAACCTCCTTCCTCCCGACACCTGCACCCTCCTCCCAGGCCTTTTCTTTCCTCTGGCTTCTTTACTGTTCCACCACAATGTTGTTGCCTTTCTTCTGTGGTTGCCAGAGTGGGGCATCCTGTGCCTTTTCCCATCCCTGCAAGATGAGGATCAAGCCAGGCAGCCAAAGCATCAGCCTCTATCCCTCCAGGGCTGAGCTCTCACCTCACTGTCAGGTGGGGACAGGAAATAGGAAAATGAAGCGGTGATAGGAAAATGAAGCGGTGATTTAAATAATCGCCCCTTCATTTAAATTTAAATGGCTGCCGCACTGAGCTGATCAGCTGTTTGTCGGCTCAGCGAGGTAGTCTGGACGCTCCGCGGTCGACATCAAAGGCATTTGTCGACCTCCCAGTTAAACCTCATCCCAGGAGGCATACCTGGGAGGTTGACAAATGCCTTTGATGTCAACCGCGGAGCGTCCAGACTACCGCAGTGAGCTGACAAACAGCTGATCGGCTCAGCGTGGCAGCCATTTAAATTTAAATGAAGCGGCGATTATTTAAATAGCCGCTTCATTTTCCTATGCCTGGTAGCCTAATCTACATGCCTCTGTCGCCAGAGGCATGTAGTCTAGACGTACCCCTAGTGGCGGCCAGAAGCTCTGCAGCCCCAAGTCTTCAGGAGAAATATGGAATTCTGCACAATTTGTGCAGTACACAGAGGTGCAGAATTCTCTAAGTATAGTATTTTCTTTAAGGAAAAATCTTTACAATGTATTATTTATTATTATTAAATATTGATCCTTAGTCAAGGTTTCATCCACCCAAATGACCCAATTATCTGCATCAGCTATGGTTCCCCAGTCAGTCAAAAGCCCAGCCAAAAAGGTAAGTCTTGCACCATGTCAAACTCCAGCAATTGCTGACTCATTAGGAACATATTCAAGAGGTTATGAATCCCTATTAGGAATATCTTGTGGACAGGCAGAACTCAAGAACAAAAGCCATCAAAAAGCTAGAATTAAATCTAAAAGGAAGAGAGAATGAGATCATTGAGTTCTAAGCCATTTCATATTTTACTGGAAGGTGAACAGTTGTTGCTATAAAACATGTCATATTAATAATATATCATCACAGTAATTTAGAGAAAATGGAACCATGTTGTTAATAAATACAGACACCTGTATCTCCTGCTCTAAACTAGCTTATTGCTATAGCTAAACATTACAAGAGAGTAGCCATCACAGAGAATTATAGTCAAGGTTTTAAGCACCAGCTTTCATTGAACTTTAAAAAAAAGTGTTATATTCTGTTTACTGAATCCTAAATGTATGAAGCACACTTATAGAAAGAAAAACATAGTCTGGTGGATAATATATTGGACCAGGAATATGGGTTTTAATCCCTGCGCTACCAAAATCTTTTGAGACACCTTGTGCAAGTCACTTTCTGCCTATGTTTCTCTTTCCTCTTCCACTCTGTCTTATCTGCCAAGGGGTTGCGTGTACACATTTTTGCACCACTTGCACTGAATCAATTTAGAAACAAATATAAATTTACTGGAATAAGCTGTATATAGGTGAATAAGCACTTTTTTGACACACTTCATCCTTCTCACAAGTTTATACTACTCTAACTATCAATATAAAATCACACCCTATCTTAAGTAAATTGGTATAGAAATTGTGTGTAGCTCAAGCCTTACACTGTACATTTTTCGGGGTCAAGAAATTTTACTATGTTTGTACAGTACCTTGCACAATGGGCTCTCTAGGCACTATCTTCACACACGCAAATATAGATTCGATATTTTAGAAAATACCTTTGTCATGGTGTTACTAAAAGAATACTTTCTGTATTGTTCCCTCTGCTCTGGGCAGCATTTTAATCAGTCTATTTCCAGAATAGTGCCAACATCATCATTGATATTTTGGCATGACAAGTTTTAGTCTAACTTGAAGTCAGACACTTCAGTGATGTGGGCCCATATAAGTATCTCTATATAGGTGGACTAAGACAATGAAACTTCCAAGACCCAGAATTCTTGTATGGAAATGTGGAGATGTAGACATGAGCAGAGACTCGGTTTAAAGGTTACTCAATCTTTTAAAGTCGTTGAATATATTCTATTTCTCACTGATAGATGATTACTTCCTACAGTATGTTATATATGTATTCTGATGGAGAATAGTCTGGGATATTTGAGGAGTATATTGCTCTAAGTAACAGTATGGATACAGTAACATTTATTTTTCTTTAAACATGTTTCATGAATCTTTCAGACAGAATCTTTCATTTACTAGTTGAAAATCACAACTGATTTGATATTGCAAGAAATCTTACTTGGTTTCTCTGCATGGCACAAATTCCATTCTCATAGAAAAAGGCCAGCTTGGCCAACTGTATTCTGACTTATAATAAAGTGTGAAACAATGTGCATCAGTCACTTAATTTTGTTGGAGAATTGCTTGTGTTTTCTGAATAAAAATGTAAATTTTCTGTTTTTCTCATTCTTATGCCTGTCTTATTGGTGACCTAGACTTTGTTTTCCTGGTCAGTTGTAACAATACTGATGGAAAACATCTCTGTGATGGACTGAGGGTCTCTGGCAGGCTCCAATTTTGATATTGTGGCTGTTCAGAAAGACAGATTTGAGTGACAGTGGCATATCATATCTGTTATGCAATATTCAAGCATCTGGTTCTAACCAATCTCATCAGTATGACTATAGCGCAGTTAAATATAGGTAATATGGAGAGATGTCTCCATTTCAGGAAACCAAAGCTTTTTATCACTGGCAACTGAATGTTCATTGTTTTTGTTAACAGGTGTCTGATAATAAAACATCGTTGCCTCCAAAGCCAGGGGGTTTGACTAGTGGGAGTAATGTACAAGCATCATTATCTTCCTCATCTTCACCTGCACTTCATTCAGTTTCTGTGGGAACAACAGGCCATAGGTCAAATTCCCCATCTTTGTTCAGTACTGAAGGAAAGCCAAAGACTGAGCACTCAAGCCAGGGTCTGGCAGCCTTGGAGGAGCTGAGAACACAAGTGAAGGAGCTAAGAACTATCGTTGAAACAATGAAAGATCAGCAAAAGTAAGCATTAGAAACTAGCTTCCATTCTAAGTATTTTACTGTGCTTTGTACTAATGTTTCCCATATAATACATGTGTTTGTGTGTGAAATTCTTTGATCATTTTGTCACAAAAATGGATTTCATAAAGAACAAGTAGATGTTGAGAGAAATGTTAAAGCACTGAAATGGTTATTCAGATAGTTTGTTACAGCGTCTCTCTTACCAAGAGAAGTTGGTTCAATAAAAGATTTTCTCACCTAGTTTCTAAGATTTATTATGTTCAGATCACAGGCCTGGCTCAGAGCACAGGCCTGGCACAAAGCAGGCACAAAACTTTCTCATCTAAATAATCACACTCTGCCTTCCAGAGGTCAGAAACGATTCCTTGTCCCTTTATCACAGCCCCTGGACAACAGACCATTATTTGGTGACCTACACTTAGGAAAGATCTATGTTATGATGAAGTTTAAATAGTGCAGTGTTAAACAGCTTTAAAACAGTTTACACATGTGATAGTTTCTTACCAATTCCTGTAACCTGCCAATGGACTGATCCAAATTTTCTATCATCATATACAAAAAATTTAATTGGGAACTGAGTCAGTAATGATGTTCCTGCCCGGAGCAAGTTTTTGTGGCCAAAGAACTAAACCTGTAAACACAGAACTTTTATTATAATGGGAACCCTTATTCCTTACGCATTCATTGGCTTCTTCGTTATCCATAAACAGTGCTATTTTTGTCAGTTGAACAAAAATGTTCATCTGCCACACAGCTGTTTTCCAAAAGCATAAATGAAGTCACTCCTGTTTATTACATGTTTTAAATTAAATAATGCAAAAGGTTTTTAGGATATACATGCTTTGCTAGATCATTATTCAGAAAATACAACAACTGGTTGGTGTGTGGGGGGTGGGAAATGGTTCAGAGGTAATTAACATTTATTTTAATATGAACCTTTTTAATTTTTCCATTTTTTTTAATAGAAAAGAGATTAAACAGTTGTTGTCTGAATTAGATGAAGAGAAAAAAATCCGTCTACGATTACAGGTATTTGAATCTTATATGTCTGGAGCAAACTTAACACGAATGTTGGCAAGTCAAATTTAGCCTCAAACTTAGGGCAAGCTAGCTCTTCTAACACTTAAAATAAATACATTCTGTTAATGTAAAAAAGAATTCAAAGATATGTATATGAACAAACGTATATTCCCCTTGCAGAGTTTGCAGTGTAGCTGCTGTTGCATTGTGTTATTGCATGAATATATGAAAACTATCTCGAATCTGAATAGTCTGTTTTTATTGACTAAGTGGAGTGAAATAGGAAAAAATAGATAGTTTAGCAGTGAAAAGTGAAATCTGTTTTTAAATATTTTAACTTTAATCATCTAAATGGATATTCATAAAGGAATGAAGGAATTTATTTTTAAATGTGATTTATAATCTGCAAATTACTTTTTATTTAAGAATTGGTCTTACTTTATTTGAAAAGTTAATTTCAGCTAACCAAATTAGGCTCTTTCTCTTGCACACAATTCTACTAGTTCTAAAAAAGTGTCAAGATTAATAAAAAAAATATTTAAGAATCCAGGTCCTGCTTCTTTAACATTCAGTACTGAGTCATCCTATTAATTTAGTCATTTAAGGAGTGAAGGTAGCAGAACAGAGCCATTATTTGGACCATCAAATATACTACATCAAATATAATGTAACTTTCAAACTACTTTTCATTATTTATAGATATAAAGCAAGTTGATCAATGTCATCATTTTGATATTTTTACTTTTACTTTGAGACCTTTGTTTACTCTGTATTTGTTATACAGGCAGTCCCCGACTTACGCGGATCCGACTTATGTTGGATCCGCACTTACGAACGGGGCTTTCTCGCCCCGGAGGTCGGGGCGAGAAATCCCCGTTCGTAAGCTGCTCCGGTGCCCCTGGTCTGCTGGAGACCGTCTCCAGCAGACCAGGGGCACTGGGCGGGTTCCCGCACTTCTGAG